GATTTTATATAAAACCAAGAACATTGCAGACAACCCTGACCATCCTCTTCATCAGACTGTCGGAGAAAAACAGTGTCGTCAGTCTGAGACTTCAGTTTGGTTGTAATACAGAAGATCTTTCCTGCCCACTGCTATTCACTGGTTATTAACTGATAAATGTTGATAGGTTTCTGAAAAAACAATCTAGGATCTTTCAGCTAAACAACACAGGGAAAGCTAAGATTCTCCTTCAAAATAAAAGCTTAAAGCTGCTAACAGATGACAAATTCCCACTAAAACAGGTAATAGCTCACACGTTATTGTTGAGATGTATGAACCAGGGTTTCTTTCTCCCTCTTCTCGACACATTCGAGCGATGGAGCGCTAGCTTGCTGAACCGGTCCACCACTGTAGGGTTAATATGGAATTAAGTATTGCTTTAGAATGCTGTTACACTAAACTGAGGCAACAAAAAACTGAATAGGGTGTCAATACGATGGCCCAACAGATAAAAGCCTGTATCTCAACAAGGTAAGCTAGCAAAAAACCTTTGGAATAACATTCAGTAGCAGTTTTATGTTTCTCCACCATGCCTCATAACTGCTTAAAAATCAAAAACAACAGGCTGAAATGACAGGAGAAAACTAGACATGGGTTTTTACAATGTAAAAACAAGTGTGCATTGCCACGTAGCATGTCATTGCAGCATGGCTTTGCCTGCAGCATTGGATTTGCAGAATTAAATGGGACCAAGTTCAAATGTGTTTTCTATACCAGCTTGTGCCTGTCATGTCAGCAGGTGTTTAGAATTAAGGTAATTGTGTGACAATATGAAGTTTGAAGAGACTTTTTCTTAAAGTTGCGTTAGCTGGGTTTTGAACCCTGATCTCCCACATGAAAGTCCATGACATAGACCATTAGACCAATGGAGATGTGGCAGAAGGTGGTGCCAGGGGTTGGTTTGTATGTGTGCAGAAAGAGGCCACATTACCAATACAATTATTGACACTAAACTACATAATATTACAACAATAGAGCAGTATTAAGACAATATTATAGTAAAACATGAAAATACAATCATTAGTATTGTAAACACTGAACTATTGAGTATAAATATTAAAAAACTATGGTGCAGTACCAAGCTGAGTACAGCTGGGGGCAGTATTGGACCATTATAAGGCTCCGTTGACTCCCATTATTTGAATTTGGAATAAAGTTTAAACATTAATATTTCAAAAACTACAAGTGGT